TCATCAAGATGTCCTCATCAATATTGCCACCGTCAATATTCCCCTCAGCAAGATGCCCTCATTAAGAGGCCCTCATCAATATTGCCACCGTCAATATTCCCCTCAGCAAGATGCCCTCATTAAGAGGCCCTCATCAATATTGCCCTCAAGAAGCACTCATTAAGAAACCCTCATCAATATTGCCCTCATCAAGAAGCCCTCGTCAGTATTGCCCTCATCCAAATGCTCGCATGAAAAAGACCTCATCAATATTACACTCATCAATATCGTTCTCTTCAAGAAGCCCTCATCAATATTGCACTCATCGATATTGCCCTTATCAAGATGCCCTCATCAATATTGTAAAGAGCGGCAAGAATGATTTTATAAATTGTAAGCGACAGTTGCACTGACTGCTCAATCAATGAATGCCGAAACGGATAATAAAAATATTACCATCTTTATAACAAGGTTCCTGTAAGACATTAAAATCGACTCATGCCTGCGGTATCTCTTAGTGTCAGTTATTATAGAATATAGACTGGGGCCAATAGGATAATAATATACCTATGGTTGTATTTTATGTTACTGAGACTGAAAAGTTCAGGTTGCAGGTTACTTGAAAATTTCATTTTATTAGTACGATATCATTAGCATTTTGAGATTAATTCTGATTACCGTCTTACTATATTTGTTACTAATTTCATTCTGTGCTTTACTCCGTCTACGAGAGAGAAAAAATCTCCAGTTTTTGTAGTTCCTTATCGAAAGTTTTGCGCAGCTGAGTTAACTCTTCTCACGAATGCTTGATTTTTTATGCCTGAAAGATTTGAATGAGCAATTCGTAAAACAATTTTTGTTTTAATCCTACCATCCCAGGCAAAGCGGAAATGCTACTAGCAGACAGTGAGTTACAGGGAGTGAAATTGAGAAAAGACTATATATATACATATATATATATATATATATATATATATATATATATATATATATATATATATATATATGTGTGTGTGTGTGTGTGCGTCTAAATAAAATATTTTGTATCTACACTAACGTGAAGCCTGATAATAGCAGTATTTCTCTGTTACTTTTTTCTCCATATCTCATTCTCTGATGAAGTTTTAATAAAAAGGAAACATGTTAGTCTGATAAACGTTTCCTATTTGTCTTTTATCTTATCATACCTCTGGTTAATAATACTGTAATTTTGAGTGAAGAACAGCTTCATTCACATGAAAGACACGGATTAATAATACAGTAGCAGAGGATATTATAGTTCAGTAAGGCAATGCGTACGACAAAAACACCACGCCTTGCGACCCACTTTGCGACGACCGTTCCTATGAGCAGACATTCTACTCATAGCGAATGAACGACGCCCATGTTTAACAATTATTGTAAAGAAATTCGGTCGCCTTTGTAAACAACAACAATATATATATATATATATATATATATATATATATATATATATATATAATTATTTATTTAAAAATATGATTCCAACGCTACACAAGAGTTCTCATGTTTCAAAACAAGAGCCGAAAACTTCAATATAATTATTTGAATTACAATGAATTAAAGGACTAAGCTCTGTTCCATCTTCAAGCGAAATTTTTACCTAACGAGTTCTTTCTTATTTTCTATATATTTTACACACACACACACACACATATATATATATATATATATATATATATATATATATATATATATATATTGTAGCTTAAATGAGTCTCTATTACTAAGACGTCACTTGTACAAATCAAGATACCGCTGGTTCAATCCGCCGTTCTTGCTTTCTGAACACTTCAAAACGTAAATCCGTCTTTTTTCCTCTCACTGCTTCAGCCCTCTTTTATCAGGCCAACACCGCGGTCGGCCAGCTAATCAACGTTCTTCGCTTTTATTCTCAGTTACCCAGGTAAATAGCCTCTTCCGGTCTGACCAATGAGCACACGGCTTGCTATTGGTGGGAGCATGCCAAACTGTAGAAAAATCCTCGTTACTGCACATAATGCTGGAATGGCTAGACGGGAGAGTAATACCATTTTCAGGGAGCAAACTTGCCGATGTCACGTGCCGCACGTTAAGGTAAGACCATTATTTTCCTATGCCCCACATGCAAGCCACTCTGGCTCACTTGCTTCTGTGGGACTGTTCACCACATAATATATTGGATCGGATTTCCTACATTTTTCAACCGATTTCAACAAAACTTCACAGAACTACGTAAAATTACCTTGCCTTTTTGAACCCGCCTTGACGGATTCAGGCCCTGTCTACCTCCCCGAACGAAACTTTGCCCTTCGGCAAAGCTTCATCCGGGTTCCTCTCTGCTAATGCTTAGATACATGTAGTCCGTTCACCGGGGGGGGGGTGCTCGTCAGAGCAGTTGCCATGAAAATATTTGTAGAAAAGACAGAAGAAGCCACGTCTCATCGGTGAGACGTGGCTGAAGTCGAGATGTCAGATCATGATTGATTAGATTACAGATCCTTTTTTGTATTTTGTCAAGAACCTCGAGGTCAATAACAGGAACACCAGACCAGATTATGGCAGCAGTATTCAATACACAGAAGAAGTGTAGATTTCTGAATGTGCAAGGTGGATTCTGACGAAAACATTTTCTGGCATGACACAGTGACAGCTTTCCTTGCAGTAGATGTAGCTATTGATTCGACGTAATCGCTCCACTTCAAGTCAGTTGAAAACGTGAGGCCAAGAAAGGGCAGTGTGTTGACCTCCAAGAGTCTAGCGTCAGCCATGCTGATGGCAGACAGAAAAGGTTCTCTATGGTGATTAAATGAAACCATGTTTTTTTTGGAAGCGCTAAAATTTACAATGTGATGGCGGATTTTAAAATTTTTGGTAACCCCAGTCTAAAAGAATGCATTAAGCATTAATGGGCTAAATAGTTTCAGCATCCTTGTTTTGTAGGAGTTAATTAATCCAAAGAAGTCTCTAAACTTACTAATAATGAACTCCATAGGTTTCTCCCAAAATTTATGCCTTGCAGAGATTGTGCCAATATTTACGCATATGTGATGAAATCCCGCTTAATATTACAGGTACCTCGCGCGACAGCAGAAGTATCGATGATAAAATGGTAAAACATGATATTACCCACAAGGTGAAACGTTTCTTCACAACGTTTAAAGCGTAATATAAAAGCGAAACTTCAATGAGTTGTGCGCGGATATGAAACATCGACCTGATTTTAAAAGTGGATGAAAAATGCGACAACATAAAGATATGAAAAGTTCAAATAAACCACAAACGTCTTCGTATAAAAGCACTTGCATATATATATATGTACCAAAAAACAATATTAATTTTTGTACTTGTCTGTTTGGTTTGTCACGAGCCTGAAATGCGTGCGTCTCCATACCTCAACTTCAAGCGAGCGAATGACTTTTCTGTCTCGTGCGGGTCTCGTCAGGTCACATGTTTTTAATTCTCGTGAATATTCATAATTAATTTTTATTGTTATTTTTGTTTGTTCAAGGAGATAACATTTTTGTCTATCGCTGCTTACTGAAGCGGCTCGTGACACTAGCATGTTGAATGGAGAATTCCAAGAGAAATAAACGTCGAACAAGAATTCATATTCTACCTTTCCTTATTTCAATTTGTCATGGTTGAAAATGAAACACGGTTTCTTTATTTCAAATTGTTTGGATTGCAGTAAAGAGAAATAAACAAGGTTTCCTGAATTCAAATTGTTAGGAAAAAGAAAGGATAAGGTTTCTTTATTTCTAGATTTATGGATAGATCAAAGGAATTGTTCCCTTGAACAAAACAATGGGAAAGGGCTCTATATTTCGACTCGTTTCATTATAAGAAAGGAAATCGTTCCTTCATTTCAACAATCTTCGAGCAGAACAATGGATAGGGTTTCCTTATTTCATCCTTTTGGGGGATAAAACAAAGAGAACTTTTCCTTATTGCAAATTGTTTGCATAAGACAAAAGATGGTGTTTCCTTATTTCAAATTGTTTAGATAAAACAAAAGACGGGATTTCCTTTTTTGTTTCAAATTGTTTAGATAACGCCAAATGAGAGCCTTGTTTCAAATTGTGTGAATATAACAAAGGACAAAGTTTCTTTTTATGAAATTGCTTCAAAAGAACAAGGACAAATTGGTACCATATGTTAAATTTTCTGGATAGAACAAATAAAACGGTCTTATTATTTGAATATTTTTGTATAACAAAGGACACTATTTATTTATTTTAAAATTGTTTGGACATGACACAGGAAGTTGCTACACAATTTCAATTTTTTAAACAGAACAATGGACGTCGTATCTTTATTTGAAATTTATTGAAATTATTTAAATAGTACAGAAACAACTGATTCCTTATTTCAAATTATTTGAAGAGAACAAAGGTAATTGGTTCCTTATTTAAATCTTTGCTTCGAAGAAGCAGTATGAATTCTTTATTTCAAATTGCTTTGCTCAATCAATAGGAATGTTGACTGGATTGATTCGTCATTCAGTTATTTAGTGTATATATAGCCAGCAGTCAGCGTTTACGCCAAACAAAAAATGATTGAATCAGAGTTCATGTTGCTTCTTCGGACTATACGATTTCTTCAGACGGTTTAATTAGAAGAAATTTCATCTGTCGTTCAATGTCTCGTTCGCCTTCGCATCAAAATTCTAAATAAGGTGAGATTTCAGCAAACGAAAATTTAAAATAATGTTACAGTGATCTGACATGGTAAGTCTTAGTTGTGAAGGTTGGAACTGGTGGAACAAAGAATGTAGTTCGCCAAAACATTTTTAATGGAAATAGCGAGAGGGTTGCGACGTTTTGTCTGCTGGAAAGAGGTTTTAGGGTGAAAAATATAATATACCATCCACAAGGATGAAATGTATCAATCATGAAATAAACTACAACTTCGAATCTTTGATGTTAAAGATTAGGACGATATTTGAGTTAATGCAGTTCATTTGTAAGAAAAAGTTACCTATTTAAAAAAAAAAAAAAAAAACAGTAACAGGTGTTAAAATGATCACTAATACTGCGGAACCTCGGGCTACGAACGCCTCCCATCAAGCACAAATCGGTTCACAAATAAGTTTTCTGAACAATAAACGTCTCGAGTTTCGAACGATGTCTCAAATGACGAACGGTGCCGAAAGAGAAGAAACCCCAATTAGACAGTTTCCTGATATTTTTAAAGAAGGTAACCCTACCTTCCAAACAATAAAATCTCTCCACTTCCTCTTCCTAATCACCTTTCACTTCCGCCATCAACTCTCCACCGTATAGGTACGTTAAAATTCACTTTTCGTCTATATTTTATCCGTTTAGTATTAGTGTTAATATTCCTTTAAACGCCGTTGGTCCCTGCTATTGGGGAAATGTGTGAACAGACTTACTTTATGACTCTCAGACTAAAGTGTTTGTGAGTTCAAAGGCTTAGAAGTCGGTTGCTGGTCAATCTCTTCTATTGTGTGGGTGCGTGTGTGTGTGTGTACGCACATATAGACCAAAATGGCCTCCGAAATTGTTGTGAGCCTCGAGAAGCGGTAGGCTTCTATTTTTATATTCGTAAGGAAGAATAAAATCTAATTTCACGTAGAGATGTGAACTTTTTGAATACAAGGTTTTCATTGGTTAGAAAATGATTTCAGAATGGCTCACGAAAATCTTTTTCTCGAATTTGCGGGAGTAGTGAAGGGTGTTATCATTGTTATTTTCTAAATGGTACAAGAATAACACGTGGTATCTTTACAACTACGCCCGAAATTATTTGTGGCGGTATTTGGAGAAGCCATTCATCAATATGGTGTCTATTTCAAGTAAATATATTGGTTATTTAACATTTCAGAAACGTTTTATTCATTACCTATAAAGTGCGTCATTTTATGTATGACAACCTAATAGTTTCGGTTTACGAACATTTAGAGTCACGTGCGGCCTTCAAAGATTAATTAAATTCGTAAACCGAGGTTCCATTCTATATTTCAGACAATGCGACAACTGATATAACCGACATTTTGCTCCTTAGATCTATATAAAAGAAAAGCAAAAATCAGCAAACCTAATCAGCAAAATTTGCTTTTGATTGTCTTTTCGTACACTGCAGGTGCTTCTTGGATGAACGGAAAACATTGAGATTAGATTTATTTTTAAAATCAACCAAGAAAGATAATTTTAAGTTCTTTTTTTTTTTTCTATGGAGACGATGTCTTTCGATCATTGTTGCTCCTCTGAATAATTAGGACAACAATAATTCATGCGTCAGTTGACATGTGTTCTTGTCGAAATGTTTGGAGACAAGACGAAAACTGAGTACTAATCTTCCGATGTCATAATCTTTGGTGTCTTTCTTGTTTATTTTTTGAATCGTGTTTACGAATAGAAGGAAGTTCAAAGTCGTATCGTTAATATCTGCGATAAAGATTATTAATTTTATGATTTAATTACCTTTTTTTATTCATTTTTTTCAAATTCCTCAATAATTCATTCACTGAATAAAGGTTTCAACAAACATGTTGTTCTTTGATTAATACCTTCTTGCAGACTATATTAAAAATGGCACAAAAAAAATCAATTCACAGAAATCGGAATCAACATTTTACTCACTTTGTATGTCTTTCTACATCTCTACATACATTTATCCCTTTATCACGTTCTTTCTCCATTCCTTTATCTCTCTCTATCTCTACCACTCTCATTATGTGCTTATTCTGATTCTCTCTGTAAATTCTACACCTCTCTCTCTATCTCTCTCTTTTCTTCCTCCCTCTCTCACCTTCTCTTTTCATGCATACATAAGGTTAGTTAATAGAAACAGATTTTCATATATATATATATACATCGGCAGTGTCTAATGTCACCACAAATGTATCCACACATTTCCGGTGTCTGTTTTTTTTTTTTTTTTTTTAATTTTAGGTCGAGGAATCGATTATGATTTATGCATCTGATAATAACTCATATTTAACTGCTCACTCATTTAAAAATTTATTTACCTTATCTCTTTAAAATTTCACTAATTTAAATTTCATTCCCCCACCCTCACATTAAGGCATTTCATGTTTTTCTTTCTTTTGTTACACCTCTCTCTAAAGATTTCATGTATTTCCCTCTCGCCCTTGTTTCTCACTCCCACACATATACTCTTACGGAAATTTTCTTTTTTATAACCGGAGTTATATTTTCTGTTTTCTTTTTGAATTTTAAGTCTGATGAATTGGATTGTGAGTATGATTCTAATGTAATAAATTATAACCATGAAATGTTACTGTTTGAGCATTTTATATATATATATATATATATATATATATATATATATATATATATATATATATATATATAAAACGAAAGATAACAACATTCCCCGGAAGAGTGAATCCCATTTCATTGTATACTTCTCGTTTCGTTAAAAAAGGAGACAGTCGTGTCCGAAAGTTCCGACTTTAAAAGCGTTCTATTCCTGCTTCGATTTAGTACAAACCGCCTACTAATATATAAATATCCTCAGTCCCATTGCCAGTATTGTTATCATTCTGTTGTCTTTTTATTCTAGAAATTTCATTAATCAGCCTATTAAATCTACACACACACACACACACACACACACACATATACACACATATATATATATATATATATATATATATATTCACAGCAAAATTGACCAATTGTTAGCTTAAGCTTTGAACTGCTGTATCTTAGAAATGATTAAAGATATCTTACTGGAAATCTCTGAGGTTTTCATAACACTATTGGACTCTAGTTTGAGCAATAAGAATTTATAAGCTAAACAGAAAGTCGTAATGAAATCGATCAAAAACGAAAATAACATGTTCATCTTTAATTAATTATAGCTAATGATCGGAAACTCGTAAAGGATTAATATAAAGTTAAAATCTATATTTATTATTCCAGGATCCTATTCCAACTTATTCAAGATGGTTTTCGCCCTTTCTAAAATTCTAACTTTCTGTCTTGGATTTCTCCTATATTTCACCACGGGAGAACTTTTGCCGATAGTTCATTGCACAAATTTCTGATCTGTTGTTTGTCTCTTCAGTCTTGTTCAAAGGTGAGGCAATATTCGGAAGAGATCCTATTCATGTCGCAATCGTCATATCATATAGTACCATGCGGTACTATGCGACATGATGAATGTTGAAACAGCCTGTCGCCTATCAATGTTCCTTATATATATATATATATATATGTGTGTGTGTGTGTGTGTGTGTGTGTGTAACAGCTAAAGACTTACTAAATATATATGAGAGAACATTAGTGTCGGGAAAATAATATGCAAATTGTACAAATTGTGCCAAAAGGAGAAATTGGCAATGGAGTGAACAGCATAAACGGTTAAATGAAAGATTGGAGGTAATGACGTCGTGCAAGGTTGCTAGAAATTTCCTCAGTTGTAAGCTATGAACCCGGGTAGGAATATTTGTCTTAAATATATATTCGTACCTTTTCTTTTCTTTTTTTTTTTTTTTGCTCCCTTTATGAGCGCCACGTTTGTATATAAGAGTGTCTTCGTATGGGAGATTCAATTTACTACCTGACGTTAACAAATTGGTAGGAACCTCCGTAGCAGGAGATTTGTTTTTCGAAAACAAAAATTACATCTTAAATTGTTCTGTACATTAATTTTTTGAACTATTTCATTAATCTAACAGTATCTTGACGGATATTGTTTTTTCTTTTCTTTGTCCAAAAGTTTAATTTTGGAATCGATCATATATATATATATATATATATATATATATATATATATATATATATATATAATTATTTATTTAAAAATTAGAACATAAATATGTTATAAAATCACTACAAAAATAGCCATTTTGTTTCAACACCTCTGGTGTCTTATCAAGTGATGATGTTGAATGTAGATTGTAGAATAAAGTGTTCGTGGTGGAAATGTTCTTAAGGGATAATCCGAAATTGATTCTATCTATAAGAATAGAATAAACAGTGCTCGACATTAACAGGAGCTAATATCCAAGTATATGTTTGGTGTATACGGAATAAATTCCAATAGCCAACAATTACTATTCTTAAAGTTGTGCTCAATACAGAGTAGAGCGAATATAATTTTTTATTAAAAAATTATAACATAAATATATTATAAAATCACTACAAAAATAGCCATTTTGTTTCAACACCTCTGGTGTCTTATCAATTGATGATGTTGAATGTAGATTGAAGAATAAAGATGTTCGTGGTGGGAATGTTCTTAAGTGATATTATTCTGCAATCTACATTCAACATCATCATTTGATAAGACACCAGAATGAAACAAATGTATTTTTGTAGTGATTTTATAACATATTTATGTTATAACTTTCAAATAAATAATTATATATATATATATAAAATAAATAATAATAATAATTATTATATGTATATATATAAAAATAAATAATAATAATAATAATTATATGTATATATATAAAATAAAAAAAAAAAAAATAATTCAATAAAAAAGATTAATACTCACAAGTCAGACACTCTACTGAATCTGACTCGCCAATACCACCAGCAGTTGTTCCGTAATTCTTCAGTTTTCGATATCAAAGGCTGGCAGTGAATATTCGGGAAAAACATGGCCGCCTTTATACACGTTGCATTGAATATTTTGAGCCTTCTGATTGGTTAACCCTTCTATTGGTGAACTATAAAATGAGTCAGCTCATTTTGACTGGCTCACTAGTACACCAGTGTACCCAAAAATTCAAACAGGTCCCTGGCACCAAATCAAGGTTAAATGACCATATAAACATAAGATCAAAAGGCCATCTATCATTATACATCAATCCACCAACTCATAACAAAGGTTTAAAATGTTTCCCGCTTGCTTCTACATACGCATACACTCGTCAGATCATTGACTAGCGGTCGTTTACAAATACTCCCAGATGGTGTTGAATGGTTTTGCGGGTCCTATGACACAGTGATGTCTGCTACATAAACCAATTGTTTTAGGTGGCCCCACAGATAAAAATTCAAAGGATTGAGGTCGGGGTCGGGGGGACGTTCAGGCCATGTAGCCGGTTCTTCCCTACCTATCCATGCTTCATAGTAGATGTCAGCCTGTGCATCCCGAACAATGTGACTAAAATGTACTGGAGCATCATCATGCAAAAATCACATGTGTCTTTGTATTAGCAAGAATACATCTTCTGGAATTGCTCCTGGAAACAGCTCCTGCATTACGTGCGGCGAGAACATATAGGCCGACCAGGCAGTCACCTACAATTCCAGCCTGCATATTAATCGTATGCTGATGCTGATGTCTAGCCTGTATTGTACCATGGGGATTCCGATCCACCCACAAATGTTATCTATCTATCTATCTATCTATCTATCTATCTATCTATCTATCTATCTATCTATCTTAATCTGTTCATAATCCGTCTCAATGTTTTTACTATCTATCTATCTATCTATCTATCTTAATCTGTTCATTATCTGTCTCAATGTTCTTATATCTATCTATCTATCTTAATCTGTTCATTATCTGTCTCAATGTTCTTAATATCTATCTATCTATCTATCTATCTATCTATCTATCTTAGTCTGTTCATTATCTGTCTCAATGTTTTTAATATCTATCTATCTATCTATCTATCTTAATCTGTTCATTATCTATCTCAATGTTCTTAATATCTATCTATCTATCTTAATCTGTTCATTATCTGTCTCATTGTTCTTAATATCTATCTATCTAACTATCTATCTATCTATCTATCTTAATCTGTTCATTATCTGTCTCAATGTTCTTAATATCTATCTATCTTAATCTTTTCATTATCTGTCTCAATGTTCTTAATATCTATCTATCTTAATCTGTTCATTATCTGTCTCAATGTTCTTAATATCTATCTATCTTAATCTGTTCATTATCTGTCTCAATGTTCTTAATATCTATCTATCTTAATCTGTTCATTATCTGTCTCAATGTTCTTAATATCTATCTATCTATCTTAATCTGTTCATTATCTGTCTCAATGTTCTTAATATCTATCTATCTATCTTAATCTGTTCATTATCTATCTCAATGTTCTTAATATCTATCTATCTATCTTAATCTGTTCATTATCTATCTCAATGTTCTTAATATCTATCTATCTATCTTAATCTGTTCATTATCTGTCTCAATGTTCTTAATATCTATCTATCTACCTTAATCTGTTCATTATCTGTCTCAATGTTCTTAATATCTATCTATCTATCTTAATCTGTTCATTATCTGTCTCAATGTTCTTAATATCTATCTACCTTAATCTGTTCATTATCTGTCTCAATGTTCTTAATATCTATCTATCTATCTTAATCTGTTCATTATCTGTCTCATTGTTCTTAATATCTATCTATCTATCTTAATCTGTTCATTATCTGTCTCAATGTTCTTAATATCTATCTATCTATCTTAATCTGTTCATTATCTGTCTCATTGTTCTTAATATCTATCTATCTATCTTAATCTGTTCATTATGTCTCAATGTTCTTAATATCTATCTATCTATCTTAATCTGTTCATTATCTGTCTCAATGTTCTTTATTTTTATCTATCTATCTTAATCTGTTCATTATCTGTCTCAATGTTCTTAATATCTATCTATCTATCTTAATCTGTTCATTATCTGTCTCAATGTTCTTAATATCTATCTATCTATCTTAATCTGTTCATTATCTGTCTCAATGTTCTTAATATCTATCTATCTATCTTAATCTGTTCATTATCTTTCTCAATGTTCTTAATATCTATCTATCTATCTTAATCTGTTCATTATCTGTCTCATTGTTCTTAATATTATCTATCTATCTTAATCTTTTCATTATCTGTCTCAATGTTCTTAATATCTATCTATCTATCTTAATATATTCATATATCTGTCTCAATGTTCTTAATATCTATCTATCTATCTTAATCTGTTCATTATCTGTCTCATTGTTCTTAATATCTATCTATCTATCTATCTATCTATCTATCAATCTATCTTAATCTGTTCATTATCTGTCTCAATGTTCTTAATATCTATCTATCTATCTTAATCTGTTCATTATCTGTCTCAATGTTCTTAATATCTATCTATCTATCTTAATCTGTTCATTATCTCTCTCAATGTTCTTAATATCTATCTATCTATCTTAATCTGTTCATTATCTGTCTCATTTTCTTAATATCTATCTATCTATCTTAAATTTTCATTATTTTCTCAATGTTCTTCTTATCTATCTATCTATCTTAATCTGTTCATTATCTCTCTCAATGTTCTTAATATCTATCTATCTATCTTAATCTGTTCATTATCTGTCTCATTGTTCTTAATATTTATCTATCTATCTATCTATCTATTATCAATCTATCTTTTCTGTTCATTATCTGTCTCAATGTTCTTAATATTATCTATCTATCTTAATCTGTTCATTATCTGTCTCATTGTTCTTAATATCTATCTATCTATCTTAATCTGTTCATTATCTGTCTCAATGTTCTTAATATCTATCTATCTATCTTAATCTGTTCATTATCTCTTTTCAATTTTCTTAATATTTATCTATCTATCTTAATCTGTTCATTATCTGTCTCATTGTTCTTAATATCTATCTATCTATCTATCTATCTATCTATCAATCTATCTTAATCTGTTCATTATCTGTCTCAATGTTCTTAATATCTATCTATCTATCTTAATCTGTTCATTATCTCTCTCAATGTTCTTAATATCTATCTATCTATCTTAATCTGTTCATTATCTCTCTCAATGTTCTTAATATCTATCTATCTATCTTAATCTGTTCATTATCTGTCTCATTGTTCTTAATATCTATCTCTGAAAAATTATCTGTCTCAATGTTCTTAATATTATCTGATCAAAATCTGTTCATTATCTGTTCAATATCTTAATATCTATCTATCTTAATCTGTTCATTATCTGTCTCAATGTTCTTAATATCTATCTATCTATCTTAATCTGTTCATTATCTCTCTCAATGTTCTTAATATCTATCTATCTATCTTAATCTGTTCATTATCTGTCGACAATGTTCTTAATATCTATCTATCTATCTTAATCTGATTCATTATCTGTCTCAATGTTCTTAATATCTATCTATCTATCTATCTTAATCTGTTTCTTTTCTGTCTCAATGTTCTTAATATCTATCTATCTATCTATCTTAATCTGTTCATTATCTGTCTCAATGTTCTTGATATCTATCTGCTATCTATCTCTGCGGCTTTCTATCTAATCTATCTTCTCTATCTATCTATGTGCATATATAGTTGGGTTGTCTTCGACTTGGGATATAAGGATTTTCTTGAAACTTAGCCGCAACTCTCTGTCGTGGGAGGTGCGATCTTCCGTTTGCTGTCCGGGGCTGAACTCTTCTGCGATTTGCCGTCCGGGGCCCGTTTCTTCTCGCTGCCGTCCTCTAACTTCTGAATCTTCGACTTGAGGCTGGAAGGATTTCTTGTCTGAGATAGATAGATAGAAATAGATAGATAGATAGATAGATAGGGCCTAGATATTAAGAAACATTGAGACTCTATCCCTGCCCGCGGTTAAGATAGATAGATAGATAGATAGATAGATAGATAGATAGATAGATAGATAGATAGATAATTACGTCGACATCGCCCCCGATATTCTTTGATGACAGGTGTTTTTGAATGACATCCGGGTCGTTTATTTGATCTGCGCCTTCATTTCCTCAGGTCATTCTCATCTCAGACACCTGCACTTTCACATCTCCTGATACTGGGTATTAAATCACACGATTATTATTAATAATAATTTTGCTCAATTATAACAATACACTGCGATAAAAGACATGCGGCAGATGATAGAATATTCATTCTTACCGTAGATTTTAACAACCGACCAATGGTTCTTGATTATTTCCTTTCTTTTTTTTCCGCAATCCTTTGATCTCGGTAACCAAATTGTGGTTGGGCTACTTTATCGTTATTACTTTTAAAAATGTTCAAAATCTACATTCTTCACTTTCACCCATTCAGACCTTGACAGTTAAGCTTTTTTTCACGCCATGTACTCGGCATCAAATCATCCCTTTCCCTCCATACTCATTTGACTTAAGGAGAATTTAATCTAACAGTTTCTTGATGGATATTTTTTTTCAAAAGTTTGATTTTGGGAATTGATCAGATGTCAGAAAATATATATATATATATATATATATATATATATATATATTTATATATGAAGAAATATAGTCTTAATTCTTAATATATTTATGGGATAGAGTATATAATATCAGAGATAGAGCCCCTAAATATAAAGTGAACACTTTTTCAACGATTAGAGGCGAAAAAATTCTGTTTCATATTGTTGCAAAAAGAAGGCCCTTTGTGCTGTTTTGACAATGAGTATTTATATATATATGGGTAGGGTAGGCATTTGGGTAGTCTATTTGGCGGTTATTTTACTGGAAGACTTTTATTTATTTATTTGGGTTAAATTATTTTTCTTGATTTTATTTATTTTTGTTTCTTTTCTTATTTATTTTTATTTTTTTTAATCGGTGTTTTTTTATTAACGTAGTAAAAGTTTGTTTATATCACTTATTTAATAGTTTTGTTTTAGTTTCAGAATTTAATTAAAGCTATTTGTTCGGTTTTCTTTTGACTGTTGTAGTTTATTCTTTTTATTTTTTGGAGGAACAGTTTTTAGTACAAATTTGTGTTTATTTGGGTTGGTTATCTTTATTTTTTTTTAAAAAAAAACTTTATCGGGATTGTTTTGTTTATTTAACTTGGTTGAAAAAAAATTCAATTCATTTTTCTTGTATTTTTCTTTTTCGGTTTTCGATTTTTTAAGTAACGTAGTATTTATTTATTTATTTTTTATTTTTATTTTATTTTTTTTATTCTATTTTATTTATTTTTTTACCACTATTTTTTTCGTCCGATTTTTTGGTTTAATTTTTTAACCTAACTAATATTTTGGTCATAATGGTTTGCTACTTTGTTTATTATGTACTTTATTTATTTGGGTTCGTTGTTTTTTTTGGTTTTTTTTTTGTTTTTTTTTTGTTTTTTGTTGTTATTATTATTATTATTATTCTATTTCGTCTATTCTGACAGGTGTGATTTGGTAATTTGTTTGGATTAATTAATTTTGCTTATTTTATTGTTATTTTTTGATTGGATGTTGTAGGCTGATGATCATCAGCCTACAACAACCAATCAAAAACTTGCAAACTTTGCTTGGAGGAAAAAAATAGCTATCTTACTTTCCCAGACCAAAATAAATTATTAAATAAAAGATCCGAGCTCATCTCAAAATGCAGACATGAAAATAAATTTTTACTACGTTACTTAAAAATTGAAAACGGAAAAAATAAAATAAAAACAAATAGATAAACAAGTAAACAAAATAACAATAAAATAAAAAAATTAATTAATCCTAAAAAAATAAAATAAAAATAAA